TGGGACGAACGGCAAAAATTCATTTGGGCCAATGAGGGAAATAATTAGAAGCCACCGTCGTCCTTAAATCGCGCTAGGAAGATTTGGGTTTCATGCCCGTATGCTTCTGGCCTATTTGGAGAATTTTCTGCCTAGGAAAGACGAAACGATCAGTGTCGGCCTATTCCTATTTGAATAAATGTCTGGTCCACTATGAAAGAGACTCGCAGACAGCGAAGCAATGAAGAAGCTTGGCTCTATTGCGCAGCTGACTCGTCGGTTTAAACGTATACGGCTGCTGCCGGAAAGGGGTATTATTAAAAGGGATAGTTGGCTGGAGTTCACAGCAGCCGACACTTTCTGTCAACTTTTCGCGTTGTAGCTTTGCGTGCGTGTGTAGCACAAATTTGGATGGGGCATGTCGCCGCAAAAAAAGGATTGCGCTGGTTCTAAATCAGTACAGTCAGACGTTTATCTCTACACAGACTAATCAATAACAGGGTGTAGAAGCGAAGTGAGTTCTGGGAAGCATCCAGGAAGGAGACGCGATCGCTGGAACCAGAATTTTATTCGCCCGACGCGTCGAATTCATACTCAAACCCAGCATCAGAGACGGAGTCAGATAAGAGTAATTTTTCGTGCAAGTGTTGGTAGTCAAGCAATTATCGCACCACATGCAATTATCTGCGATGATTGGAGAGTCGCCAATTTTGGCAAGTATACAGCGGTAAAAATACTGCAACACTTGCACAGAACATTACCCTATATGATTTTGTGTCTCTCGCTGGATTTGAGTGCGAGTCCGAAACGTTGGGCGAATAAAATTTTGCTCCAGCGGACGAGTCTACTGACGAGGTAGTCTACCAGTTGCCATAAAAGGAAAACGTCTTAATATTTATTGTATGCTTCGTAACTTCGATCAGAGGAGAATATGTAGACGCGCAGCATGCCAAACATTCAGTCGGGCAGCATTCGAGCATCAGGTTGGCCCAAGTATCTAAAAAGTATCGAAAAGTTGCATGGCATTGAGGAATTTGTGTCCGATTCTGGGTGCGAGGGCAGAATCGCCATGAAATGTACTACTCGGTTTAGCAGGATGCGTTCGATGAGGAAAAGTAGCTAGATAGTTATATAGACGTCACCATATAAGCTGGAAGAAACGTCAATAAGGGCTACCTGAGCTTGAAAGCCAAAAAACGCTAGAAGCGAATAGGCAAGTCCAAGGAAAAAGTTTAGAAGAATAAGGTGCGATCACCGGAACGAGAGGTTTATCGGCCTGACGTTTCATACTCTCACCCGAATCCGTCATCAAAGACAGTCGCAGATAAGAGTCACTTATCTCTCTCTGATGGCGGGTCCGGATGAGAATACGGAACGTTAAGCCAGTAAACCTGCTCCAACGACTACATTTTCTTCTTAAAAGCCAACAAAATAAGACATACCATTACCGCGACGCCTTCATCTGCAGCCATCGTCAACAGATGAAGCAAACGAGCACCCGCGTGGGTTTCGCCATCATCGTCGAAATCGGCTACAAGCGATAGTGTGTTGCTGGAGTCCCTTAGTTTGGCCCGCAAATACCAGGCGGTAATATTGTGCGTAGCACTCGCAACCTTGCTATCTTCCAGCATTTTCCTAATGAAAAGGGATACCTCCTGCAGAGAATTCACGTGACAGCAATGAGCCTGAAAGAATCAGGTAAAAAAATAGTGATTATAGGGCGTACACTTCCTAATGAGACTGAGAAAAAACACATAGTGGAAGGTCTATTCAGAATAAGGGAGCTGAGGATTGTTCTGGCAGTTAAAATTCACCAAACCCATTTGACTTGAACTTCACTGCGGATAATAAAGTGAGATAATACACAAATCCAAACTTACTGTGATCTAGGCAAAGCCGTAGACAGGGGTGTATCTCGTCACTAATTGGACCCTTAAACTATTGTATACGGATTTAACAATATCCAAGTGGCCCCCACTGTTGGCTGACCGCCTTCCACTACGACGGCCCAGTCCTGCAAACGTCAGTTCGGTATGAATACAGCACTAAAAGCGAAAGTCAGTACCGTTTGGGACTGAACCTTTGGGGAGGTCACGGACTGCTAAGAAGGAACGGCCAATTGGCCTGCGCACTGGCACCCAAGAGCGATACCAAAGTGCATAGCCTACGGTTTGCCGTACAATATACCCATAATACTATTCATTGCAGTATACCGAAATCCGACATGCTTGAACGAAGCAGAGTGCCAAAGAAAAAAACTACTGAGGTACCTCATACGGTAAAGGCAGATTAATGCTACCTTAGAGGGTCCAAAAAGCAACTATTTCTACTAATAAAGAGCGCTGCACAGCCTTGACAATTCACGAATACAGATGCAGTCAAATGAAGGAGGGTAAGAAACAAAGAGCCAGTAAATGGTTTTATTGAAGGCAATATCAGACCTTTAGATGTTTTAGGATGTAGGGGATCATTAAGAAAGTGGGATATCTCGTCTTTTAACTCCGAGTTCCTAACTGACTATAATGTGGGCAACATCGGCACGGGGATTTATGAGGGACTTCTAGCCTACAAATATGTTAATATAATGTGGAAGCACGCAAGCGGTGCACGCATGGTGATGGGGGGTCAAACGAAATCTAACTCACTTGAAATACACTTTTTCGATCCGTAATAGGTTCGCCATGATATATTTCTGGGCAGTGCGTCCGTACAGGGACTAATGAGGCGCTCGAGAGGTGGGCGCGCACACTTGGAACGCAGTACAAGTCGGAAGTGGGTTCGGCTGGGACGGAATCTAGCAAAGCAGGTTTGCACACGTTCACTTCTGGTTCTTCGGATGGAAGTCCGTCTAGAAACTGCTCGATAGCCTCGACCATACAATGGATCACCGGCGACCCCACGGACGTGCAGCACAATTCCCAAAGAGAGCTTGTCAACTCAGAATGAGCTGAACGTGATAGTTCAGGAGCTGTAATTCTTCGACAATATGTAAGGAAAAAAATTACGTAAAGGTGGGACAGGCCGATGATGGATACCCGGGGCCAAAAGTGAAACGAAGTGTGACAGTAGGCAACTTAGGCTTTCCCGATGTGATCAAAATTTCAAATGTTCTAGGAAGTTTGTGAGTGAATGACGACTTTCAAACTTGTCTTCTAAATTCACAACAGTGAAGTTCGGTGAGTAAATACTTTCTAGAGCTTGCATTTCATCATTTTGAGACTCAAGGTCCTCCACTGACGTCTCCACAGCCATTTAGGGTAGACTAGTGTAATGTGTCCCTGTGAGTCAAGGTCAAAAGACGGTGAGGGTCTTGACATCGAGAGTCCAGTTTGTTTGGAGGATTTCAGGTGTACATATCTGAACTTTTTCCTTAACACATTTAACTGATATATGCCATAATCCCAAAAAGATGCATTAACTACATACAGGCGAAGGGCTTTATGTTTATAGAACGACAAACGATTCCAAGCGTTATCTGTACCGGCAGATATATGTACATTAGTAGGCAGTACGATAGCCAGTTTAATCAAAGTATGTTACGTAAAAAATTAAACGATATAATTTGCCGCTAAACCTTTATGTTGTTGTCATATTTATGTACAATAAGTTTGCAGCAGTAAATAAAGCCCACAGATAAACATTACTCACGTTTACATAGTGGCACGCCGAACCCTAATAAATTGCTACCGTTGGACATTATGACAATAATGATTGGAAAGCAGGGACACATTAATTATGTGCTGTGTGTATTATTGTGCATAATCCCGTACTAGTTTAACTCCCTCTAAAACATTCTTGGATGAGGACACCGCAGCATCTGCAAGACTTCATGTAGTAGGAAGTAGGTCTACGATTAGCTGAAATGTTGTTACATCTAAAATACGCACAGGAGTACCAGGCAGAAATATGGAAATGAGGAGGTAGGGGCTGAGGCAATTAGTAAGGCGAAGTACCACAGAAGAAGAGGTAGTTAATGGAAGAATACAACGTATTACCGGGGGCATGGCAAATGGCTGCAGAAAGCTAAAGTTCATACAAAAACAAAAATAGAATTACCGACAAAAAGATACTTGGATAAAAAGTAGGAAAGTGCTTGAAGTTCGCCAGACTGATGCAGGCTAGTTACGGACTTTGGCACAAATAGCCAAAGGACTCATATTGAAACCGGGCAAGACACAACATGGATGAAGAACACAAGCCGGATAAAACCACCTTCGCGTATCTCATAATTATGACAATAATATAACTCTAATGGGAAATGAGTCACCATATCAACGAATAGGAGCACATTCAGTTGGCTGAAGTACACAAAATACGCCAACGATTGAGCGTTTTACTAAGTGTACGTGATTAGCCTCGTACTAGTTGCAAGCGTTTACATGTCCAGTAGCGCACAGCACTAGATGGCCACACAAACTGCATCGAAGTCTTCAAAAATGCACATTCTTCGCAAAAGCCGACAGCTGGCCACGTGTGTCTTCCGGCGTTAGCACGTGAAAGTCCTCGCCGTATGCGAAAATCAACACGGTCAGTAATCTCTCCAGGTATAGATAGATAGATAGATAATTTTTCATTGAAGACCCGTCGGGGTCCCATCAAAGCAAATTAAAATAAATTTACATGCGAGTTTTAGACGAGGTAGGCCGAATCTTTACAAAATGCAATTCATAGTTTCTGAATTAGAAGTCCATTGAGAAACATGATGATTGAGGGGTGAAAAAAACACCTTACAAAAAGTTAAAAATGATTGGATTAATTTTACAGGAGAAAAAAACCCTCAATAAAAATAATGACAGAAAAATGCGAGCAGGACTGGCCTGTAGGTGGCGGTATATAACGGAATGTTGTCGGTCATCGTCAATCATATGCAGCAAGTCATTTCCTTCGACGACTCAAAAAACCATACTTTTCGGTATTATTTCTGTTTATTCTTCTACTATTTTGTTTATTAAATACCTGAGAAGCAAGCTCGTGTTTACTTCAGAAGGTCCATAAATGAAAACTTATATCTACGAATTAGTAATTTAGACAATGTTAGAAAAAGGGCCTTTTATCATTATTTTCTGGATGCAAATTGAAAAGGTGTGCTTAGCCATCCCCTGTGAAGACTGAATCAAGTAACTGAACATAGACGGAAGCAGGAATGGTAATCTTGTGGTCTATTTTTAGGGGTAGTGGGTATTTCACTTGAAGTCCCAATTCTTGCATTTTGCTGTGCTATATGATCATTTAAGTAGTTTTGAAACGAAATTCCGCCTATGCTTGATGTACATATTGTTTTTTTTATCATATATAGTGTTTAGAGGAGCATAAGGTAAGTTCGCACTCATTTAAATACGTGTCAATGAGCTGCATCGACTTCGTTTCCACAACTGTTTATTGTAGAACTTCCTATAGTTTTACAACCAGTTGTGGAAATAATTAAATCCAAAAATTTAGTATGAAACCTTTCATGCGCAATTCATTGATTTCTCACGAATAAGGCGATAAACTGCTATTATATGTGCCATTGAGACACGTCTACAAAACGCAATTCTCGCAGACGCCACACGTCATCATAAAACCACTAAAAGATCGCCATTTCCCAACTGTAGGACAATGCTAATAAATAGTGGCACATAACCCTTCTGAGTGAAAATTATGCCGAAAAACTTTACTGGCCTAGCCGTCTGGAACTACATTTTTGACATTCATTTTGTCCATTGCATATCACGACATCCGTATTTTAAGTGAATATGACGTTGTCATAGACTTTCCCAAGAATTTCTAAAGCCACACGTATCAACGTTCTTTAAATAACATACAGTACCCCACGGCGTTTTTGTGGTCATGAGAAATTGTTACGATGCTTTTTGAATACTATATATCTATATACCAAGATCAAGAGCCAACTCCACTTTCCCTCTTTCAAAGGTTTCTCTGAACGCGAACTACTCTCCAGCGAAACGTCGGAATGACAAGGCAAACGTTTGAGAATTAAAACCACGATCGGAGGATGAAAAATGTAACCCGGATGTACTCAAAAGTTGTTAAGAAGGAACCGGCATGGTTAATGAATCAAAGAGTAATTATGAGATATCTACAAACTCTTCATAAAATAGCCCCTAAAAGCGGAGAGCTGAGTAAAATATATAAATACAGTGGGATCCATAAAAACGACTCAGTGAATTAACCGACTTACATGAAGGACTCCTTCGCGAACGTACTATTTCCTATATTAAATGCCAATGCCGTCGCAGTTGCAGATGGTGTGAATTTGTGGTCCTTATATCTTGCAAATGGAGAAGGATAAAGAAATTTAGGAATTGAGGTGGAGAAGCTGATGAAACTTCCTCACCGTTCACCGAAAGGAGAAATATGGCGATGTCGGAAATTCAGAAGATGACAAGAAAAACTGCTTATACGACTTCAGTAACTGTATTAGCCGTGAAACATGAAGACAGACCGTCTACAAACCTAATCACGACCGAGAACCTGTCTCATGTGCGAGAGAAAAATAACCGAAGGGCATTCCAAAAACGAGGAGTCGTCTCAAAGCATCCCTAAAAGACCAGGTAGGTCGGAGCGTCAGCATGAGAAAGCAGAGTCCACACAGAATGCCAGCAAATGCCTCACTGCCAAAAGAGGTACCACATGACCAAGAAGCCTCGATAAACGAGGAAACCTACGGTGGCTATATCAGGACAACAGTCTCTGGATTGGATATTGATGGGAACAAATATTTTCGCGATGCAGACTGTGCGTATAAAAATAAACGACAGCGCCTATTGCTAGCAATGAATTCATCATCGAAAAGAGTATGCTGGAGTCTTCTTCAGACACCCCAAAGAACAGAGTTAACCACGATCTACAATAATTCAAGCAATACACCAAATCCCTATTACATGAGAACGAGAACACCACCGTCTTGAAAGCTTTCAGAATAGGACCAAGTAAGAATTTGAAGGGCGAGTCGGTCCATCATAGACAATTAAAAATTATTGTCGAAAATAAGGGAACAAGCTCTACTACTGCTGAACAGGAAACCAGCACTGCGAGATGCCCACCCAACATTTTTTCCAGCGGGATTTCTCACCGGCTGAACGGAAGAAATGGAGGGAACGTCGCCTTCTCTTAGATCTAACAAGTCTGTTCAGCCCAGCACGTCTACAAACCCCGCAGCCCCAATCACAAACTACTACAATGGGCAACGGACAAACTTCTCTGCCAGAATGTTACCTTTGGAACACGGGTCAGGGAAGGACAGCAGTCGAACTGCCTTGATCTTATTTTTACCCGAGAGGAGGAAAATGTGTTAGACCTGCAGGACGGACAGCCATTAGGGTCAAGCGATCACATCACGCTCTACTTCGAGTACTCACTGTTTTCCAAACCCGTCCAACCCGAGAGGTGGGAGAGGAACATTTGGAAAGGGGACTATTTTCTCATGAGGAGGGAAGCGGCAGCTATATCATGGGAGACTGAACTGCATGAACGAGCAAGCGATAACTGGAATACTTTCAGTTCCTTACTGAAAGAGATTGTTTATTCCAATTGTCCTCTCCGAAGGAAGACAATCACAAACCGCCCAAAATGGATAAACCCGGACTTGAAGGCCTCTTTCAGAAAAAGGAATCGTCTGTGGAGGCGTTACAGACTGACTGGCTCCGAAGAACACTTACAGGAATATAAGCGGCAACGAAACGACTGTAAAAGTGAGGCCTCAAAGCTGCGAAAGAAGTTTGAAATAAACATCCTCCGAAATTCGTTGGAGCATCCGAAAATTCTATATGGTTATATACGAAGTATTAAAAGGACTCAGGAGCACATCCCTGCCCTCAGGTCTGCAGATGGAAAAGTGGAGACCGATGACCAGGTTAAAGCGTCCCTCCTTTCCGACTTCTTTCAGTCCGTCCTCACCCGAGAACCTAGTTCTATATTTGCCCATCCATCCATTCGCCAACCAACCTCTCCTCCTAGTACCCTTCCCCATCCTATCCCCTCCCTATCCTCCTTAACCGAGGAACCACTCTTTTCATCTAACATAGTTAGGGCCGAGCTACTCCGGCTGAAACCTGCCAAATCGCCTGGCCCAGATAGAATTCCCGCCCTAGCACTTCGTGAGCTTGCTAATGAACTGTGCAAACCCTTATCCGCAATATTTCAAAAGTCATTTGAAGACGGCGAGCTCCCGGAAGAGTGGAAGTGCGCACTCATTGCTCCGATCCACAAAGGAGGCTCAAGACTTGACTGCGGAAATTATCGTCCTGTCAGCCTTACTTGCATCGCGTGTAAAATAATGGAACGCATTATCAAAAGACACTTGATGAAAAACCTGGAACAGAACAAAATATTGTGTGATGCCCAACACGGCTTTCGTCTAGGGCGCTCCTGCCTAACGAGTGTTCTGTACTGGCACGAGGAATGGACACGAGCTACCGATAAGGGTTTTCCAGTGGATGTCGTATTTTTTGACTTCAAGAAGGCCTTTGACAGTGTCCCACACAGGCTTCTTTTACAGAAGATCTGGGATATAGTAATTCAAGGAAGAATGTTCAAATACATAAGAAGTTTTCTGTCCTCCAGAGTACAAAGAATAGTCGTTGGTAACTCTACGTCAGTATGGGCAAAGGTGGAAAGTGCTGTCCCACAGGGTTCTGTCTTAGGCCCAGTACTCTTCCTGATTTATGTTAATGACTGCATCAGCGAAGTGAATGGCGAGGCCCTCATGTTCGCGGATGACATAAAAATATGGAGTGAAGTCAAGTGTGATGATGACGCAGAGAAGTTGCAGTCGAACATCAACAAACTGTGTGCTTGGTCGAACAGATGGCTTTTGAAGTTTAACGTGTGCAAATGCGTGGTTTTGCACCTGAACACCGGCCGCAATGCCTCTCCCAAACACCAGTACTACATTGACGAGACGAGGTTAGAAACTGTGGAAAGACACAGAGATCTGGGTGTATGGACGACCACAAATCTATCGCCATCAGAACACTGTAGAAAGATGGTCCAGAATGCAACTAGTACTCTACACTGGATGAGACGTGCATTTAAAATATTTCCTCCCGAACTTTTCGAAAGACTCTTTGGTGTCTTCGTACGACCTCATATGGAGTATGAAATGCCAGCAGCTTCACCATGGATGAGGAAGGATATCAACTTACTCGAACAGGTGTAACGCAGAGCGGCAAAGACGGTTGACGGTCTAAAGCATTTGTCATATCAGTAGAGGCTGAATTTGCTTGGCTTATTCCCTCTTTCTTACAGACACATAAACTGCACTCTACTTTGAACGTTCCGGATAGTCTGCGGACAGGATTGCTCATTAAGAGCAAAGGACTTCTTTGAGTTCGCCCGTACAAACCAACTACGCGGCCATGTATACAAAGTCGGGAATGAGCGCACGCGTTTAGACTGACGAAAATTTTCATTCAGCCAGCCGGTTGTCAAGCCGTGGGACTCGCTTCCAAGCGAAATGGTGACGGCCGGCACAATTTGTGTGTTTAAAAGAAAACTTGCTCGTCTAGTTTTCGACAGAAATCGGCTTGTACAGCATGACTATGCACAGCCATTTTTGTAAAATCCCTCCGCAATGATTTACAGTGACCTTATGCAATACCTTATGATAAAGATTGAACTGTGAGTCTATCACATTGTAAATGCCTGCATTTTATTTTTGAGTGCGAATCTGCGAAAGCACTGTACGTAAATAGGGTCATCAAGGGCTCTGCCTCTAACCATCCAAACATACACATACATACATACATACATTGGAGCACAATTTACAAGCTCATTGCGCGTGAGAAGAAGGCATATTTTGCGCGGGTGGGTGATCCCTCCGTTCCCTGTACGTCGTCGGTGATAGACCAACCACCAGAATTAGAAATACCCGAACTAGTGCCAGAAGTTTACACTGGTAGTTATCTTACTGTGTTATTTACTAGCAAGTTTAGAACCAATAGACATAAGCGAGAACGCGGTCGCAGGCAAATACTTTCTGGAGGATTCACGGGAATTCGGCTTGGAGGCCCAAATGCTGCCATCCAAAACAAAGAATTTGTTTTGGATGCTGCAGCCCTACCATCTAGAAGTGCTCAAAGACCCAAGGATGCTATTGCAAACGCCTCGGACCTGCATTAACAACCCCTTGAACCAAGGCAGCTATGTTTATTTAGGTCTTGAGCGTGGTCTGCTGGATCAACTACACAGTCTGCCAGAAACAACCGTTCCTGAAATGCACATCCAACTGCATATTGACGGAATGAAGATATTCAAGGGGTCTAGTCAGGGCCTGTGGTCGATTCTTGCTCGCGTTCGCCATCCAATTGTCGATCAGCCCTTCCTTGTCGGAGTGTTCTCCGGTCCCGACAAGCCTGATCCGTCGGATGACTTCATGGGAGACTGTGTTGGCTAGCTGAAAGACCTCCTGGCCAGTGGTCTGCGCATTCTACATACGCAAAATATCGTAAAGGTGAACTCAGACAATGTTATCTGTGACACCCGTGCCCGATGTTTTGTGCGGCAAATTAAAGCTCATAATGGCTATTACGGATGCGACAGGTATGTTGTTTAGTATCTTTAACTAGAACCACCGCAGGTGTTCCCATGTGGGCAAACTTATTGCGAACAGCATGACGTTTCCAATATGCAGAGGGCGTCTGTGTGACCACTGGTCATTCAGTTTGCGAGGACAGGAACCACATCACAAAGGCAGGTCTCCGGTCGAGGATTTACACATCGATATGGTGGCCTCCTTCCCACTCGTCTATGTGAATCTGGTTTGCCTGGGCGTCATGCGGAAGTTACTGCATATTTGGCGTCTGGGCTCCAGCAGACACTCTAACTCATTGAATGCCGCTTTTAAGATGTGCAGCCAATGTTTGCCGGCCGAGTTTTCACGTAAATGTAGAGCACTCGATTGTCTGGAGTTTTGGAAGGCTGCCGAATACAGGCAATTTCTACTGTACATAGGCCCTGTCGTTTTGTCGTCCGATTTATGCGAAGCCCGACACCAATACTTTTTACAATTTTCCCTCGCAGTGCACATATTCTGCCATCCCATATTGCATATGTCCTGGGAAGAATACGGCCGGCTTCTGTTTAATTGCTTTGCTGTTGATTTCCCCATCTTGTATAATCCTTCTGATATTATTTACAATGTCCATTGCCTGCTCCACCTGTATGACGATGTGGCTTGCTTTGGAGTGCTGGATAAGTTCTCGGCATTTCCATTCGAGTCCTTTTTACGAAGTGTCTGTAATAGTATAAAAGGGCCTACTAATGTAGCCGCACAGGTCTTCAAGCGCTTTTCTGAAAAACGCTTGCCTGAGGTACCGACATGCTCAATGCTGTTGGACGATGACGAGGGAGTTGCACGGGCATTTAAACTGCCTCGCGGATCCACCGCACTTTTCCACAAAACTTTGTTCCGTCAACTAAACAGCCCGATAATGTGCTACTTATCGGAGAAATGCCGTGCCTACTGACATCAGTGTCGGTGACCAGTATAACTTACCGCCGGTTCCTTGTCTGTGAGGACCTTTTAACAATATCCTTTCCTCTTCCTCCTTGTATATGTTTAAAGCCTCGCGTTTATCTGACATTCCTTCAACTACTGCCCTCTCATGTGTCATTTGTAAATATGTTCCCTTTGATATTGACGGTCGTTTTTTTCTGATTCCCTTGTCGAAGGTGGTGTGGTCGACAAGATAAAGATTCCCAATCAAAAGTCAGGAAAGACGGTTTGAGTTGGACAACCTATACTGCCTGAGGAAGTGCATACACAAGGGCTCTGTAGGCAGTCGCCGCGAGCGCGCTCCAATCAAGCTGTTGTCTGTGTCAGCCTTCGAGATGTTGTGTCCCAGCGAGTATGTGCGCCTTTCGTTTTCTCCGCGTCCGCCAGCCAATCAAAGTGGGGACAGCGTTAATTGGCTTCGAGCACTCGCGAGGCTAGTGATAAGCCTCGCGCGCCCCAACAGCGTATCGACAGGGAGCGTGACGCGGACAGGAAAGCAGCGTGGCAAAGGCGGAGGGCGAGGAGACGCGAACTGCCACAGCACCCCCAGCTAGACCGAAGGCGGCGCGTAGCGATGCCGAAGGGACTGTTGATGTCTAAAAAACATGAGTAACCAAACGGTCAGGAAAGTGAACATGGCGTCCACTACGGGTGATATACAGGGGGCACAGGGTAGAGTGAGTTTGGCTCGCGGCTACAGTGTTGTTGGTTGATGAAGGAGTAGTTGCAGTTGTGGGTTGCGGACATGGGGACAAAGGAATTATACGGGACGGAGGGGTAGAGGGCAAGGGATGAGACGGGCGAGGCAATGGGCAGGGTGAATGAGCAGGGGATAGGGAAGATGGAGGAACGGGGGTTAGGGGGTCAGCACATTTTTGTCCTAGTGACAGGTCAGGCGACTCCTCTGCAACAGCAGCCTTGACCCGATAGATACTGAACACGTCCTCCTTATCACCGCGAAGAATCCGGCAGGTCTTGGCGTTGCGCGCGAGTACGCGGAACGGTCATTTGTATGGTGATTCCAGCGGTTGGCGCACACGGTCACACCGGACGAACACATGAGTACACTTGTCCAAGTCTTTTTCGACCTAAGACTCAGTCATTGGAGTTCCAGGTGGAATTGGAGAAAACGAGCGCATAAATTGCCGCAAAGGGTGCACAAGATTGTCAGGAGTCTCGTCGGCCCCACGAGAGGTTGGGGTGATCATCTCGCCTGGCAGTCGGAGGGTAGTGCCGAAAACCAATTCAGCTGCGCTACAGCCCAGACCCGACTTCAGAGCTGCGCGGATGCCGAGGAGTGCCAGAGGAAGGTTGTCCGACCAATTTCCTTGGTTTACTACGGCACAAATGGCGGTCTTTAACTGGCGATGGAAACGTTCCACCATACCGTTGGCAGATGGGTGGTAGGCTGTCGTCCGAATGCGTGTGCAGCCAAGGAAATTGAATATAATTCGGAAGAGTGCCGACTCAAACTGGGCACCACGATCATTCGTAACCGTGGATGGGGCACCGAACATAGCGACCCAACGACTCACGAAGGCCTTCACGATGTTTTCACCCTGCACATTCGGCAAACGAATAGCTTCAGCCCAGCGGGTAGATCGATCGACACAAGTAAGAAGGTGCGTGAAACCATTGGGTGGAGGCAAGGGACCTACGACATCTAACTGCACATGGCTGAACCGTGCGTCGGGACTGGGGAAAGTGCCTGGTGGGGACTTGTTGTGACTCTGTACCTTGTTGCGCTGGCAGCTCAGACACGACCGAGACCAAGCTTTGACGTCCTTGTTCATGCCAGGCCAGACAATCCTTTCCGCGAGCAGCTTTTGAGAGGCTCGGATCCCAGGGTGGGAGAGTCCATGTAAAGTTCGAAATGCGGTTGGACACATCGAGGCGGGAACGAAAGGGCGATTAAAGGGAGTTGAGACGTCACAAAGCATGGTACCAGAGCCGGTGGTCAGAGAAACGTCTTTGAGTTGGAGAACACTAACAGACTCGTCGCCAGGACAACTGACTTGCTGTTGCTCAGCCGCCATGGCGCACAGATCGATCCCGTGTGAGAGTTGGAGGGAAGACAGTGAGGGTCTGGACAGCATATCAGCCACCTCATTCTTCGTGCCATCAATGTGGCGGATTTTGGTGGTGAATTGGGAGATGTAGTCCAGGTGGGCGATTTCCCTCGGATTGTGTTTGTCGGAGTGGGAACGAAGTGCAAAAGTCAAAGGTTTGTGGTCAGTGAAAACAGTGAAGTCACGACCTTCAAGGAAATGCCGGAAATGCTTCACAGCCAGATAAATAATTAACAATTATTTTATTTAATGCCAGTTTACAGGCATTGTCAGGGAAGCGCTAAACACAAATCCGGCCAGTAGTGAAAAAAACTCCCGTGGAAAAGGAATAAAAATATAGTTGATGGTGGTTTTATGGATTGGAGGGTTCAGGAGAAAAAAAACTACCGGCGACAAGCTTTCGATCGTCAAGAAGGGAGGGGTTGCACGGTATCGGATATTATCAGTCGCCAATTTCTTTCATGAATTTAGGGTTAGTTCAACCAGAATCGCCGAAGAGCAGCTGTCGCTTTTGGCTAAAGAAATTGTCCCTGGTGAGACCGGCCATAGTGGTCAGAGACCACAAGCGCAATCGCTACGGTGGAGCCGATCAGTGGATTCAGCAGCCAAAATGTGTGGGAGCTTTTCACAAGCTCTCGACCGTCAAGAAGGGATGGGGGGTGCACGTTATCGGAGATTATTAGACGTCTATTCCTTTCATGAAGTTGGGGTTAGTCAAAATGAGACCGGCCATAGTGTTCAGAGACCACAAACGCCATCGCTACGGTACAGTCGTTCGGTGGATTCAACACCCAAAATTTATGGGAGCTTTTCTGAATGCAAAAATCGAGTAATAATTCTCTTAAATATTTCAAAATATTTCACATAGCAATAGCAGTAGCAAGTAGTTCACGGCCAAAGGTACTGTTACGTGTCTCAGCTGGTAAGAGCTTTTTGGCGAAAAAGGCAAGTGGTTAGGTCGGACCAGCAAGGTGTTGTTGAAGGACTGCACCTACGGCTACGATCGAAGCCTCTACAATCAGGGGCAGCTGAGCTTCGGGAGCGTGATGAGTGAGTAAGTTGGCGTCGACAAGGGACTTCTTAATTCTCTCAAAAGCAGTCAGTGCTTCACCAGTCAGCTCGAGAGGACCTTTGGGACCAGAAGGCATGTTGGTGAGCGGCAGCATGAGGTCAGCACAGTTCGGTAGGAACCGGCGGTAAAAATTTACCATGCTGAGGAATCGCTGTAACTGACGCTTGGAAATTGGTGGAGGGAAATTACGAACTGCTTCAACCTTGGAGGGTAGGGGACGCAAACCTTCACAGCCGACCTGATGGCCGAGAAACTCGAGTGGAGGCACACCCAACACGCACTTGGAGGGGTTGATGACAATGCCAAACTTGTGAAGGCGGTCAAACACCAAGGCAAGATGCTGTTTGTGTTCTTCTTCATTCCGGCTGGCAACCAAGAGGTCATCAGTATAGGCGTACACAAAGGGTAGACCACGTAAGACATGGTTGATGAGCCTCTGGAACGTTTGGGCGGCCTTACGAAGACTGGACGGCATGCGGATGAACTCGAAGAGACCGAAGGGTGTGGTGACGGCGGCTTTAGGGATGTCCTCAGGGGCGACTGGTATCTGATGAAAAGCAAGCACCAGATTAATCTTCGAGGAAACCGCTTTGCCGAAAAGGGTTCCAGCAAAGTCCTGAAGATGAGGCGGGGGTACCCATCAGGAATGGCAGCGCTGTTGAGGGCACTATAGTCGCCCAGGGTCGCCAGTCGCCTGATATCGCCTTGGGCTCCATGTGCAGTGGGGACGCCCAAGGGCTCTCGGACGGTCGAATTATTCCCAGTTGCAGCATGTGTTCAAACTCCGCCTTCGCGGCCTGGAAACGCTCTGGTGCTAATCGTCTCGGCCGAGCAAACGCAGGAAGACCTGAGGTGCGGATATGGCGCACAATATCATGTTGTACCTCACAATTGCGAAACTGGGGATTAATTATGTTGGGGTGACTAAGAAGCAGTTGTCGAAAGGGGCTAGCAATATCCTTTTTAAGACAGATAAGTTGGTGAGGGCAGTAAGGGGAGTTAGTCCACGAACAAACAGACCGGCTGTGCGGTCGAGGAGACGGACACGTCGGCAGTCGACAAGGAGATCGAACTCGGCAGGAAAGTCCGAACCGAGGATTGCATGACTGACATCAGCAATCACAAAGATCCATGTGAATGACCGACAGAGGCCAATGTTCAGGGTGAGGGACAGACTGCCAAAACTGGAAATGAGGGAACAGTTGGTGGCTTGGAGGTGAAGACCAGGGCTAAGGAAGCGACGATCAGCTGCAGTTGGGGGAACAACGCTGATTTTGGCTCCAGCGTCCACCAGGAAACAACTGCGAGTCGCAGTGTTGCAACCATAGAAGGTGGGACCAGAGTTAGAGCTGTCGGGAAGATGGGCTGCACTGGCCTTCGGGCTGACCGGTTTTACCCGTTTTCTGCGCTTGGGGGTGAAGGAGCAGGAAGAGATGCAGCGACGAGCTTTAACACCAAAGGTGGTATGGTACCAGCAGATGGCAGCTGCGTTTGGACGGGCCGAATGTAAAGACTGGAGATGCGGGATGGACGGCTTCGGTTGGCTCCGAGATGAGGGAGAGACTGTCTGCTTCTGGAGTGAAGCTATATCACCGGCCAGTTTGCTGAGTTCGATCTCCAACTGCGAAAGGGGAGACGTAGGATGAGTTGGGAGTGCTGAAAGTGACGGCATGGAAAAGCCGTGCATCTCCATAAGACGATCGGCCATCTGAGTAAGTTGCGTGACCGAAAGAATGCCGAAGGCGGACGCCAAAATATGCTGCACTTCCGGTGGAAGATTGTCCATGATCGACGCCTGACTTCATCGTAGATTAGGAAGGAGGATTGCTGTTCGCGAAGGGATCACCAATTGTCGAAAGTGGTGTGGTCGACAAGATAAAGATTCCCAATCAAAAGTCAGGAAAGACGGTTTGAGTTGGACAACCTATACTGCCTGAGGAAGTGCATACACAAGGGCTCTGTAGGCAGTCGCCGCGAGCGCGCTCCAATCAAGCTGTTGTCTGTGTCAGCCTTCGAGATGTTGTGTCCCAGCGAGTATGTGCGCCTTTCGTTTTCTCCGCGTCCGCCAGCCAATCAAAGTGGGGACAGCGTTAATTGGCTTCGAGCACTCGCGAGGCTAGTGATAAGCCTCGCGCGCCCCAACAGCGTATCGACAGGGAGCGTGACGCGGACAGGAAAGCAGCGTGGCAAAGGCGGAGGGCGAGGAGACGCGAACTGCCACACCCTTACTGCACACTGTGCGTGAGCTGTGACTCTTGTTTACATTGTTTATTTGAGGATATAAACTTCCCTGTAGATGTATTCCGTTGTTGATTTCGTAAATGACACGGCTGTGGCCGTGGTGGCTGCAGCCTGGTTTTTCGACGATGGCAGCGTTATTTTATTTTTATTTTTATTTATTTTTTTATTAAAGACCCGTCGGGGTTCCATCAAAGCAAGTAAAAATAAATTTACATGCGAATTTTAGACGAGTTAGGCAATATCTGTACAAAGTGCAATACACAGTTTTTGAGATTAGAAGTCCGTTAAGCAAAATGAAAATGAAAAAAAATGAAAAAACGAGGGGTGAAAAAAAAACTCCAAAGCAAAATTTAAAAATGATTGTAGTAATTTAACAGGAGAAAGAAAAACCCCTCAGAAAAATAGCATCAGAAAAATACAGGGAGGACTGGCCTGCATGTGGCGGTACAGAATGGAATATAGTTCGACATCAACATGGCCGAAATAAGTGTCAGCTGTATATGGCATTGTGTAACGGATTTCATAAAATGGTACGTAGGCGGGTCGGTCAGGACTGGCCTGTATCGCCTTGATTAAGAAAAATAAGTGGCGAAATTGAAAACTAGTCTCGAGCTGATAGGAACCCAGATGCGCTCGGTTTCATTCAACCGAGTCCATCCGAGCATGGGGGGAGATGTGACCAGACTACTAGTATATGACGAATATAGAAGGCTTTGTCAAGACCGCCGATGGAGCGCATTCAGTGAGGGCATCATGAAGATCAGTCCCGAGGCGATAGGAACCCAGAGGCGGTCGGTTTCATTCAACCGAGTCCATCCGAACATGGGGGAAGGGAGATGCGACCAGACTACTAGAATATGGCGAATATAGAAGGCTTTGTCAAGACCGCCGATGGAGCGCATTCTGTAAGGGCACGATGACAACCAGTCTCGAGGCGACAAGAGCCCAGATGCGGTCTGTTACATTCATCGGAGTCCATCCGAGGATAGGGCAAAGGAGATGCAACCAGATTACTAGTATATGACGAATATAGAAGGCTTCGCCAAGAGCGTCGATGGAGCGGCCTAAGAACCCCAAAGATCGGTCTGTCCTGCTGAACAATAACAGGCGGCCACCAGACGGCACCAAGGTGTACACTGTTCGGCTACTTAAAAGTTATCTGCCGCTGCTGAAAGTCAGATAGCTAGTACGAAAAGCAAAGCTATCAGACAAAATTTCTAGCTCCGAGCCGGGCGAATTAGGCAGGAGGATGAGGAAGAAGTACATGTTCCATACTGTTAATATTTCTTTGCAGATATTTCCGCAGGCAGACGTCGGATTCAGACGATGATGACGAACTACTTTATCGTCCGGGGCAGCTACTTGGTTGGCCAACACCACCACGAATACTACAGTAAGCATAATTATCATTAATTATTCGTACGCCAACAACGGACGAACCGATTCCCCAAGTGTTCTGTCAGCCGAGTCAACGTACGCCGTCGACTTCATATCGGTAACTGCCTTTTATTAATTATTACCGAGGTCTGTCTAGGGAAATGCCGCTACCTGTGCCAGTGCCTGATACCACACCTGCATGTAACCAGCAGGCGCAGAATGACATGACTGACGTAAGCGTTCGGTTAGCGTCCCTCGAGTAAGACTGCTGACAATCTCATTGACAGTCTATTCGAAAAAATGTCGACTTCCTGGTCGAGCAAATGGTCGCCCTCAACAACAGTGCGCGGCAACTGCGGGTAACAATGACTGATGTTGTCAGTGCATTAGAGTGGGGTGCAACTGCTGCTGACGTCCGGTTCTCTAGTCTGCATTTGCCGTTGGGCACAGCCGAAGCCTACGAAGACTTCGTTCGTCGTCTAACTACTGAGACGGAGTTGGCAGAGAGGGCGGTATTTGTATATTTGTTTAACTGTTTTCAGATCAAGCAGCTGGCCGTGGTGGGAGGGCGGAGTGAAAAAGACTGTCAGAAATCTTCTGACTGCTCTTATTGGTCCGCCGCTCTGTTACACCTTCTGCTGGAGGGGCGGTTCCAAGGAGAAGCGGTCGTTCCTTGACTGCCCGTTATTTAGCATCTTCAACGGTAGGTCTATTTTTTGCTTATTGGCACATACAGATGCCATCGGCCAAAACCCCCGTTTTAGCAACTGCAACAGGGAGGTACTTCGATTGACGGCCATTAATTGGTTCCATGGTTCGAAGGACCTTTATGGAGGACGATCGAGACGCAGGCGCAATATTCACACAGTACAACATTTTGCTTCGAATTACTGCCTAAATGTGTTCAGTTTCAAGGAGTCCCCACAGATGACCTCGCATGCCCACAACTTTCCCCTCCGAAGCACACGTAAGTTAACTGAAAAAGACTGCTATTAACACAACTTATGCTATTTCCCTCTTTTCAATAATTATAATAATAGTTTGTATTCATACTAGTATGTCTGAATTAACAGTGTATTTTGCAATAATTATTATATTGTAATAACTATTGCAAAGTACATTGTTAATTCGCCGGGTGATGTCTGCTTGAGGTATGACGTTCGCAGAAGTAGTAAATCCGCCTAACTATCTCTTGAGTTCGAAAAGTGAGACAGCACACTTTACCCGGCCCTCGTTGACCGGTTTCGGGTCTGCGTCAGATCCGTATTTTACTGTGACCAGTGCCGCGCCCGCCCTGGTTGACCGCGCAGATAATTAGCGTCGTCGCTGCCTCCTGTCAAGGTGGTTCGTAAAACCGAATACAGGCAAATCAATTAATTTGGCGGAGGACATCCGGGCTTCTCTGCATCAGCCCTGAGATTGTTAGCCGAGGCGTCTTTCCACCGATAGCTCAATCAACAGCTGCACCAAGTAGCTTGTCCCCAATTTGGTTTTATGAATTTTCTTCGCACGAGGCAGTTATGACGTGGGACAATTGGGGCCGCCAATCATCTCCGTAGTCAACGAGGGGAGGGAGGCCAAACAAGTCACATTTAAATGCGAATCCGGTGTAGCCCCACAGGAAGTCAATTAGGATCATGTACATAGAACTGTGTTCGTAACTTTCCAGTGTCTGGGGACGGGTAGACGAGTTCACCACTCGGAACGCCAGACCCGCGTCTGGTCTGCCCTGAAGGAAGCCTCCTTATGACACGCAACCTAGAAATTGCATTTCTCCTGCTATTAAAATTATGGATTACTTCAATGACAAAAGCATCACCCATGTTTTACCACAGTTCTTTTTTTGCAGGAACCGCCGATAACCAGTGGAAAGCGTTTAATGTCCATTGGCGAATTGCATCCCTACCTTATTTTTCCTACCCATTTCTCATCTACAAATACTCAATAAACCGTCGTTTCTAACCATTGTCTGTCCACTGCCCTATGTCGTGGGATAGAGTGAACGCTATCTAGGTTGTCCGGTTGTGCACTTACGCGGGATGTTTATCGCTGATTCGCTTTAGCCGAAGCTAGGAGGATTCAGTGACATGTAATCGTACTGAGATAGCGGACAGTTTAGAATGGGTGCACTCGCGAGTAAAAAACGGAAGCCAAAAGGGGCGGAGAACGAATGAAGAATGCGGAGAACCTATATGTTGTCCAATTGTGCGCACACGCGGGGTGTTTTTCACTGATTTGCCTTAGCCGAGGCTGGGAGGATTCAGTGACAAATGTAATCTTACTACGACAGCCGCCAGTTTAGAATGAGTGCACTCGCCAGTAAAAAGGTGGCCATAAAAGGGTGGAGGGACGAATGGAGAATGGGGGGCACCGCCAAGCATTTTTTTCGAATGGTGTGGCCAAACGTGGCTGTGGTGTCGAAGGCCACGCCTTAGTCACACCAAATGGCCACGCTTGGCCTCGTCCTAACCACGTCTTGCCGCAGCGGCAAGGCATTGGCAGCCGCGGCTGGCGCTCGCAGGGAAAATTCATGTAAAATATACCCTGAATTGCTATGGCCGGACTCCCATGAATATTGAATAAAAAATTATTAAAATTATTATATTTTCTAATACGGCGATTTTCTAGGGGTTATCTTGTACATTTTTGTCTTTCACTGTTGGGTCAAAGTGAATTTTGGTCTTAATAGAACTTTTGTTATCTGTTAGATGCAATGATTGAAACACGGAATTTATTCAGCAAAAATCCGGAAGGCCACATAAAATTGGATGTGACACGCCCCGTTTAACCCCTTCGTGGCCGCCCCTTATTAGTGGCCATGTATTAGCAGGGTTTTCATAATCCCTTACATCGGACATCAGATATTCGTAGCTGTTAAATATGCCATTCTGCATATGCCACCTAAAATGGGAACGCAGGACCAATGCCTGTTTTTGTGCTACAGAATACACGCCAGGGAGTGGTAGCGAAAATATAATTATGTAGAATCAGTTCTCCAGTTCTCAAGTGGCAGTTGTCACTTGGCCTACAAAAGTCCTATAGATCATGTTCCTTGAAAATTCCTGCCACTTCGACCCTTTCAGTCGGCATAGCGTAATGGATGTGTTCCACTTAAGGAGACTTCACTGTGATTTTGTCCCTATTTCTGTGAGCCACTTTAATAAAAAC